TCTTTCACATCCACAGGAGACAGCAACTGTGCCCATACAATAGTGACCTTAATAATAATAACCATACTCTTGCCCACTCTACCCATTGGACAAGAGCCAGTACCAGCTCCTATACCATCTGATCAATGAGAACATCCAACACCAGCTAAACCCACCTCTAAACAGTGGATGAGAACAGTGTTTAAATATTCCATTCTCTAACTATACCAATAGGAGACAGTTGGTGAGAGCCTGAGAACACATCAATATACAATCATTAATCAAATACAAATATGACAATCCCACAATGTCCTAGAACAATGGACAATTTTAGCTCACATGAAGAAACAAGAAAGAATGGCTCAAACAAATGATCAAGGTACAGAGCCAGAAAGCATTTCTGAGGAAGAAAAGGTAATGGAACTAACTGAAAAAGAATTCAAAATAATGATATTTAGGTACCTTCAAAGGACTGATAAAAAGATTGAGGAAAGCAAGGAGAATACAATAAAAATTTTAGAAGAATTCAGGAAAACACTACAAGAACAAACAGACAAAATAAATGCAGATTTTGAAACAATACACAACCCGAAATTAAAAATCCAGAAGACTAATACTAAGATCTTATAAATGGACAAAGGAGTATATCTGAAGCAATGGAAACCCAAATTAGTGAGCTTGAACATAAATTTCTCAATTTTAGTATGCTAGAAGAACAGAAAAAAATAATGAACGGATCTGAAGAAATCCCAAGAGTTATGTGGGACACCATGAAGAGAAACAACTTACAAGTGATCAGAATTCCAGAAGAGGAAGAGACAGAAAAAAAAATACAGAGAAAATTGCTGAAGAGTTGTTGGAAGAAAACTTCCCTAACGTCATGAAAAGTTAAAAGATAAACATTCAAGAAGCTGAATAAACCCCTACCAGGACAGACCCCCAAAAGTAAATCACCAAGATATATCATAATAAAACTCTCTAAAACCAAAGACAAGGAAAGAATACTGAGAGCAACTTGGAAAAAGCAAAAAGTTACCTACAAAGAAGAACCATTAAGATTAATCTCTGATTTTTCAGCAGAAACCATGCAGGCAAGAAGGCAATGGGATGACATTTACAAAACTCTGAAAGAAAAAAAACTACCAACCAAGAATCATATACCCAACAAAGCTGTCCCTCAAATACAATGGTGAAATTAGGATGTTTCCTGACACACAGAAATTAAAGGAATTTGTAATGGTCAGATCAGTTTTACAAAAAATGCTAAAGGGTGGTCTTTGGACAGAGAACCAACAATAGCAGGCAACAACCTGAGATTACCATACATGACAATACCACCCAGAGCTCAATCCAGATATAGAAGTATTTAAAGTAAAACAAACCTACAAGACTGAAAAGAGGGAACTAGAGATACCAATTTATAATGAAGTCAACTACAAAGCAAAAGGAGGAAATAGTGTGGATACAAAACTTCCAAATGGCAAGAAAATCGAGTAGTTTTCAAGATACAATGTTGTTGTTAAGTGCCGTCGAGTCATTTCTGACCCATAGCAACCCTGAACAGGATTTCCGAGGCTGTAAATCTTTACAGGAGCAGAAAGCCTTATCTTTCTCCCGCGGAGCAGCTGGTAGTTTTGAGCTGCTGACCTTGCGGTTAGCAGCCTGATTTGTAACCACTATGCTACCAGAGCTCCTTCAAGATATAATAGACTGCTTTAAATAGGGAAAAATATTAATGAACTACAGGGTAACCTCAAAGAAAATTAATACACCTGCACATCAAAATAAAAGAAGAGGATAATCAGAAAGATTTAGTAAAAATCAACACACCAGACCACGCTCGACACCGATAAGGGGAAGTGAGGGAAAAACAGCAACGAAGCGGTGAGCTAAGCTCTACAACGTTCAATAGACTTCTGTGAACCCAGGTGAAGACCTGGTTGGCCATCAGTGTGGCAAGACCTGGGAAATCTTGGGCCAGAGTCAGTGACATAGCCACAGAGGACTAGAGTGGAGAGTGAAGCGTCCAGCTGATAAGAAGAGAGGGCATATGCATAAGAACACCCACACT